GGTTTAAAAATACTGACTTGGGACAACAGGAAAAATCAGAAAGGTTTCCTTGGGGGGAGGAGAGAATAAAAAAAACTTGAGAAAATTTACACTATGGATGGTGTATTTTCATGTTTAATCCAGGCTATAATCTTATCCTTGAATCATCAAGGGAAGGTTGGCTCTGACAGTATGGAAGAAGTAAGGGATGTGTCCTGGATAGCTAAACAGTTTAATTAGTTCAATCTTCTACCATTTTATCCATATAAATTTTAAAATATAGGCAATTATGATGGTGGTAGTTAATAACAATACTTAACACGTACATAAAATTTAGCAGATGCCAGACATTCTTCCATTTGCTTTAAATAAACAGGTTGAATTCTCTTAATAAAGTGATGAGGGAGATGATATAATCTGCATTTTGCAAATGAGCAAGCAAAGGTAGTTTCTATAACCTACTCAATATTCCACAGGTATTTAAGATTTCAGAACAGGTAGTCTGGCTCCAAGTACATGTTCTCAGCCATTATGTCAACACCAAGAAGAAAACAGCAGAGTACACTCTATGCCATTCTATCATAAGAAAGTACAATTTACAGATACCACAGGATTTATAGAGAATTAGGATTCAATCCATCTTATCTATGTAGGCACCTCATAGAACATATCAGGAAGATGGAGGAAAGAGATATTTTTCTTATAGACTACTATTGTTTACAGTTGATCTTACTATTAATCAGCCTTATTTTACAAACAATTGTGTATGTGATCTTTTTTATATTTTCTATAAATATGGTTTCCACTAAATGCATTGCAGACCAAGATACTAGAAAAGTTTACAGGAAATGTTTGCCTTCTTTACCAGAGACAGTTCAGTAATAATGGCCTTTCCTATACTCACGTAACAGAAGACAACAGGATGTGGTATGGTATTTTAAACTTTCTAATTATTTCCCATGAAGTTTATTTGTTGTTAATACACACTCATAGGAAATCATAGTATATAATAGTAAAGTGAAGGGAATACAACTCCTACTACAGTGATGGCCTTGGTGACAGAAATGATGCTGGAGATGAGATCATGACAGAATTCTGCAAGAACAATGACTTATTCATTGCAAATACCTTTTATCAACAACATAAATGGTGGCTATACATGTGGACCTTGCCAGATGGAATACACAGGAATCAGATTGACTACATCTATGGAAAGAGGTGATAGAGAAGCTCAATATCTTCAGTCAAAACAATGTCAGGAGCTGACTGTGGAACAGACCATCAATTGCTCATGTGCAAGTTCAAGTTGAAGATAAAGAAATTTAAATAAGTCCACAAGTGCCAAAATATGACCTTGATTATATTACACTTGAACTTAAGAGACCATCTGAAGAATATATTTGACACACTGAACACCAATGACTGAAAACCAGATGAAGTGTGGATGACATCAAGGGCATCAAACTGGAGAATGCAAAAAGACAGGAAAGGAAGACAAGAACAAAATGGATGTCAGAAGAGACTCTGAAACTTGCTCTTGAATGGAGAGTAGCTAAAGTGAATGGAAGAAATGATGAGATAGAACAACTGAACAGATTTCAAAGGGCAGCCCAAGAAGACTAAGTACTATAATGAAATGTGCAAAATCATGAGCTAAAATACCAAAAGGGAAGAACACACAGCATTTCTCAAGCTGAAAGAACTGAAGAAAAAATTCAATCTTCTAGTTTCAATACTGAAGGATTCTATGGGGAAAATATTGAATGATGCAGGAAGTATCAAAAGAAGACAGAAAGAATACAGTCACTGTACCAAAAAGAACTGGTCAATATCCAACTATTTCAGGAGGGAGGTAGCATATGATCAAGAACTAATGGTATTGAAGGAAGAAATCCAACTTAGACTGAAGAAAGTGGTGAAAAACAAAGTTCCAAGAATTGATGGCATACCCATTGAGATGGTTCAACAGCCAGATGCCGCGTTAGAGGCATTTACTTGTCTATGCCAAGAAATTTGAAAGACAGATACCTGGTCGACTGGAAGAGATCCATATTTGTGCCCTTCCAAAGAAAGGTGATCCAGCAGAATGTGGAAATTACCGACCAGTATCATTAATATCCCATGTAAGTAAAATTTTCCTTGTTGTTGTTGTTGGTATGTGCCGTCAAGTCAGACCTGACTCATAGCGACCCCTCCTTGGGTTTCCAAAGCAGTATCACTATGGAAGTAGATTTCTCAACCTTCCAAAACTGATGCTGCAATATATTGACAGGGAACTTCCAGAAATGCAAGCTGGATTCAGATGATGTGGAATGGAGGATATCATTGGTGATGTCAGATGAATCTTGACTGAAAGCAAAGAATACCAGAAAAATGTTTACCTGTGTTTTATTGACTATGCAAAGGGCAGTTGACTGTGTGGATCATTAACAAATTATGGATAACATTGTGAAGAATGGGAAGCCCAGAACACTTTGTTGGGCTCATGAGGAAGTTATACACAGACCAAGAGGCTGTTGTTGGAACAGACCACGGGGATATTTCATGGTTTAAAATCAGGAAGGGTGTGCATTAGGGTTGTGTCCATTCCCACACTTATTCAACCTGTATGCTGAGCAAATAATCTGAGAATGTGGACTGTATGAAGACCACAGCATCAGCATTGGAGGATGACGTATTAACAACCTGCAACAAGTAGATGACACGCAACCTTGCTTTCTGGAACTGAAGAGGACTTGAAGCACTTACTAATGAAGATCAAAGACCACTGTCTTCAGTATGGATTGCATCTCAACAAAATAAAAATCCTTACAACTGGACAAATAAGCAACATCATGATAAATAAAGAAAGGTTGACGTTGTTAGGGATTTCATTGTACTTGGATCCACAACCAACACCCATGGAAACAGCAGTCAAGAAATCAGATGTCATACTGCACTGGGCACATCTGCTTCAAAAGACCTGTTGAAAGTGTCAAGAAGCAAAGATGTCACTTTGAAGTCAGATGCGCCTAACTCAAGCCATGGTATTTTCTATAGCCTCATATGCATGTGAAAGGTGGACAATGAATAAGGAAGACTGAGTTGATGCCTTTGAATTGTGGCAAAGCATACTGAAAATACCATGGACTACCGTAACAATGAACGAATCTGTCCCAGAAGAAGTGCAGCTAGAATGCTCCTTGGAAGTGAGAATAGCCTTTGTCTCACCTACTTTGGTCATGTTACCAGAAGAGACCATTCCTTCAAGAAGGATATCATGCTTGGTAAAGTAGAAGGTCAGTGAAAAAGGGGAAGACCCTCAACAAGATGGATTGACACAATGATGGGCTCAAGTACAGCAAGGATTGTGGAGATGGTGCATAGCCAGGCAGTATTTCGTTCTGTTGTACACAGGGTCGCTATGAGTCAGAGCTGACTCAATGGCATCTAACAATAGTCACATTGAGTTGCAATACATATATCAAATAGCTAAGTGGCAGGTACACATACATACTGACATAAGAATCATTACAGAATACTCACAAATTAATAGATGCTGTTAATTATGCAATTTTCCCTGGCCTTTAAATTTTTTTCTTATTCTAATGAATGTCTGGGGGGAGCTCTGGTAGCATAGTGGCTAAGACACTTGCCTGCTAACCAGACGGCTGGCGGTTCAAACCCACCAGCCACTCCTCGGAAGGAAGGTTGGGCAATCCTACTTCCGTAGTGATACTGCCTCGGAAACCCAAGGAGGGGTCGCTATGAGTCGGGGCCGACTTGACGGCACATAACAACAACAACAACAATGAATGTCTATGAATATTTTGTTACATTAATTATCTTGATACTATATATGAAATAAGAGTTCTGATAAGACAATTTTCAGATAAAGACTTTTACTTTCATCTCTGAAATTGATAGTCTCTCTCTCAGAACACTCGTTGGTAAGTAAGATATTAAGGTTTGTTGAAAACTTTCACACATTTAAAGCATTTATATCCTTAATTATCTGATATTCAATAAGACATTTCTTGGTAAAGGCTTTCTATATATATAATGAAAATGTTGCACTTCTCTCCTCAAATACCTCATTACTAATGAAGACTTATGAATAAATGCTTATGATCATTGTGGTATCGTCAGGGGTTTGTTCTATGTTACATCTGTAAAATAGACTGAGTGCTGAGTTCTCACAGAAGTCATATTCAGTGATTAGCTGAGGGACGGCTATGGTAGGTTAGTAACAAGTAGACCTAAACCCGTAATATCTCAGCAGTTAATGTTTATTTCTTCCTCACAAAAAGTTTAAGTACTAGAGGTAGAGGAGGAAAACCCTGCTCCACACATTCTTTGACCCTGATTCCTTCCATCTAATATTTGTCCATGTTCAGGCCAGTATTCCCAAGGTTTTCCTGAGAGAGACTATTCTATTCTGACCAAGGACAGAAGACTCTGAAGGATTCTGAAGGATGTATTTCACAGGATATGTTTGCCACAGACATGCACTCTCCACAAGCTAAAGACTTGTAACATTATCCTACTTGGATGAAAGAGTGGTTGGAAAATTTAGACTAAGAATGGCCCTTGAAAGAGGACTGGTGAAAAACTAGTCAGTATATACTACATAAGAATTATCAATGTGTAAGTCAAGGTGAGGGTTGACCTCTGTTACAAGTATTTTCCTCATCCATTCCCAAACACAAGATTTCTTTTGTGTGTACTATGAAGTCTCTACCATCTATGTATTTTCTGGTACACTGAGAAAGTTGGCTTTTGGCAAACAAATTTATTACATTCTAAATTTCCTTCACTGTGAGATTTCTGTGATGCTAAATGGAGCTCTGGTAGCATAGTGGCTAAGACACTTGCCTGCTAACCAGACAGCTGGCGGTTCAAACCCACCAGCCACTCCTCGGAAGGAAGGTTGGGCAATCCTACTTCCGTAGTGATACTGCCTTGGAAACCCAAGGAGGGGTCGCTATGAGTCGGGTTTGACTCGACGGCACATAACAACAACAACAACAACAAATGACATTTCATTTCTGGCACACAATTTGCATATTTTTATGACTTTCTCCAGAGTGTGACTTTGTTGTGTTGAATTCTCTAATATTCAATGAAGACTGAATCCTGTCTGAAAAACCACATATATATTTTTTCAAGAGTTTCTTTTCTGTGTGACTTCTCTGATGTTTGGTGAGGGCTGATTGCTTGCAGAACTTTCTGTGAGCATTACATTCATAGGATTACTCTAGTATGCATGCTCTTCAATCTTTCCTAAGTCTTGACTTCTAACTGAAATAGTTCCCACGTTCTTTACACTCACAGATTCTCCTGTGTTTTCTCTGATACATAAGATTTTATTTCTGACTAAAAGTTTCCCCATATTCATGTCACATCTCCCATACGAGTTCTGTTATGGTCACTGACGTATAATTTCTGACAAAGTTTTCACACAGTCATTGCAGTCATACGGTTTCCTCTCTGTGTGACTTCTCTGATGACTTCTTAGACCTGATGTCACCGTAAAAGCTTCTCCACATTCATTACACTGATAGGGTTTCTCTCCTGTGTGAATCCTCTGATGACTTCGGAGGTTAGATTTCTGGCGGAAAGTCTTCCCACATTCATCACATTGGTAAGGTTTCTCCCCTGTGTGTATTCTATGATGAACTCGAAGGTTTGATTTTTGGCTGAAAAATTTTCCACAGCCATCACACTTATAGGGTTTTGCTCCTGTGTGAGTTTTCTGATGTTTTCTTAGGCCTGATTTCAGGTTGAAAGTTTTCCCACATGCATTACATTCATAGGGTTTCTCTCCTGTGTGAATTCTCTGATGTCCATTGAGATGTGACTTCTGGCTGAAGGCTTTCCCACATTCATTACATTTATAGGGCTTCTCCCCTGTGTGAGTTCTCTGATGTAGTATGAGGGTCGACTTATCACCAAAACTTTTTCCACATTCTTGGCATTTATATGGTTTCTCCCCTGTGTGAATTCTCAGATGGTCTCTGAGGCTTGAATTATGGCTGAAAATTTTTCCACATTCATTACATTCATAGGGTTTTTCACCTGTATGAGTTCTCTGATGTACTCTGAGGTGTGATTTGTGGGTAAATGTTTTCTCACATTCATTACACTCATAGGGTTTCTCCCCTGTATGGATTCTTTGATGTATCACTAGACCTGCTTTCTGTCTGAAAGCTTTCCCACATTCAATACATTCATAGGGTTTCTCCTCTGTGTGTGTTCCCTGATGTTTTCGTAAACCTGATTTCTGGCTGAAAGCTTTGCCACATTCAAAACATACGTAGGGTTTCTCCCCTGTGTGAGTTCTCTGATGCAAATCGAGGAGTGACTTTTTACAAAACAATTTTCCACATTCATTGCATTCATAATGTCTTTCTTCTTTGTGAGTTCTTTGATGTTCTCTGAAATACGACTTCTGGCTGCAAACATTCCCACATTGACTATATTCACAGGGTTTCTTCTTCCCTGTATGCATTCTCTGGTGTATTTTAAGGAAGGATTCCCAGAGGAAAACTGTTCCACATTTGTTACATTCATAGGTTTTTTTACCTATATGATTACTCTTATGTAAAATGACGTATGGCTTTGTAAAAGATTTTCCACATTCATTCCAATCAAAGGGTTCTGCACTAGTATGAGTTTTCTCACATACACTGAAGGCTGACTGGGAGATGAAGGTTCCCTTATATGTGTTATAATTGCAGGAACTGTCCATCATGAGAGCTGTCTGATGCTCTATAACTGCTGAATCACTGCTAAAGTTTTTTCCATATTCAAGGGATTTCATTCTTGTACAGGTTCTCTGATGTTCTCTGAAATGGGATTTTTGGCTGAAATTTTTCCCTCTTCTTTCCAGTCTCTCAAGTTGAGTGATCCCATCAAAATTACTCTCAGTTTCATTACATTCATATTCATTAAATTCATAATTATTATTCTCCTCTAAGAGAATGTTCTGGGAAAGAGTAAGGGTTGATTTATGATGTATATTTTTTCCAAATTTATTAGATGTGTAATATTTTTGTTTTGTGTGGGCACTCTTAGGCATAAGGACAGTAGTTGCATTATGGAAAGGTTTTCCATATTCATCATATCCAAAAGCCTGCTTTAAAGTCTGAATTGTCTGGCACTGAATAGCTTCCTTCTTATGACTAACAACTTCCACATTTTTATTACATTCATAAGATTTTTCTTCAATGTAATTTCTCTTTTTCCTGAAGTTGAGGATCCATTTCTCACATATGTGAAACTCATCACCCCTCTTTCTTGAAGAATTAAACTGTGGATCTAACGGTATGAGACTCATGTAAGTAGGTACTGTGGTATCACATCTATAGGGCAGTTTTGTTGAAGGATAATTGTCCATGTTCAGTTTACAGAGTGATCTTGAATGTTTCTCTTGCTCTGTAGTCAATGTGTTGCTGTTGGGCAAAAAATTTTGCCAAAAATGTTTGTCTTTGTTTTCCTGGCAAGTCTCTACAAGGTAATCAAGTTGGCAGACTTCTAAAAATAATAAAAAAAAAATTAGTAATACTGTATGAAACTGAACACATCTCTTATAGACTAAGATACACACATACATGCATACACATACATACACACACATCCTGTTATGTATTCATTCGACTCTAGTTTCCATCACAGTGTCTCAACAACAAAGTAATTCCAAGTGTGCATTCCCTGTATTTCTTTCCTTTGGGAACAAAATTTTGTAGTAGGGGGGAAAAATTTATAAAGAATACACATATGTGTTTTCATTTTAAAATATGACTTTGAAAAATGAGTAGAGAAAGGAACATAAAAGATAGGAATCACTGTTGACACTAGAGAATTTTTAAGAGTGATTTAAAGGACATGAAATTCTATAAATGAGATGAATTCATCAAGGATTGTGAACAGTAGATATAACGAGAAGAAAAATCAAGAAAGATTTTCAGTTTATAATTCAGAGGAATTACTTGGGCTAGGCAGGAATATTAGTATCTTGGTTTGTATATGATCAAGTATAAAGTACAACAGGAGGGTACTTATTAGTCTAAATGCTTCGTTTGGAGTTCCCTCTTTTCCATTCTACACATTAATACTAGAACAGATTTGGCATCAACTTCTTCAGGCTCTAATTCTCTGAGCTGTCATACACAGGCATACAGATGCACAAGATAAGTGCAAAGCTGATGAGAAGAAAAGCCATGATTCCATTTGGATTGGACTTACTGCTTTATTATGACTTCAGTGCCTTTATGCTGGTTTATTTCAGTGTTAGTTCATCACAAACTTCTCTTAATTATCAAACTTTAATCTGTTAATGAATTGAAGTGTGAGTCCCCAAAATACATGCTGAAGTCCTAACCCATGTATATATAAATACCACCCCATTTGGAAGTTGGGTTTTTCTTTGATCATGTAAATGAGGCCACACAAGACTAGAATAAATCCTAAACCTAATGACTGCTCTGTGGTGACTTATTAGAATAGCAGAACAGATACACACACAGAGAAGATGGATACTACATTTAGATCATCTATAAGCAAAATAACATGAAGGCTTGCAGGAAGTTGTCAGAAATGAGGAGAGGTCCACAGAGGGAAGTGACATAATGAAGATCCTGATTTGGACTTTTAGCCTCCAGAACTGTGAAAAATAAATCCCTGTTCTTTAAAGCCACTTGCCTGTGATATTTTTTTGTACAGCAGCATTAGGTAACTAAAATAACCCCTTTTCAATTTGCTCACTGAAACCAGTCTTACCTTCATCCAATCCTAACTTCTGCTTTCCATCTACCTGTCAACATAAAGTTTCTAATGATGAAAGTGCTTTATGTCTCGTATATATTAACCTGTTTCCAGAAATTTTGGACATACCCTTTCCATTTATTTATCATGAAAGTTTTTATGTACATTTGACTGCTATTACTTTGCTGATAGCCATATTCCATGCAGCAATATACTTAATCTAAAAGTCATGTATTAAAAGTCTATGAAGACTCTGGTTCTGCTAGGATCGGCAGAACAAAAGTTAATTGGCATCATTTTGAAAATCAAAGTTTTACATTAACTGAACACACAATAGTTGTTTATCCTGCCATCCCACAAGTCCTTAGTTTTTCTGCTGTAGTCTGTCCAGGTTACTTTTCCCCCTTGTGAAATAAAACGATAGGTTTTGCTTTATGAAAAAGAGAGCATTCTCTTTCCCATGGCACTATAGGTCATATTTTAAATGTCAGAAATCTATGTATTATACAATCATAAATGAATGAATGACTAAATGAAAGAATGACTAACTGAATGAACAAATGACTGATTGAATGAATGACTGGATGAATATATAAATAAATAATATATATAATATTTTAAATGCCTATATAGCTGTGCCTTGAAGTATAATTTTAAGAAGTAGCTTGTCTTGTTTCACATTTTATTTAGGTGATCAGGCTCACTAAAACCCCTAAAACTTATTCTTTCGGAAAACAATCAAGGATTATCATGTCCTGTTTCCAAGACTCCAGAAGTCTTGTAACCAAGGCTCCCTGATCTTGTGATTGTCTTTAGTAGGGTTCCTATCTAAACTTTGATAATGTTTGAGCACACACTACACTCTAATAAAAGTTATATACTCTGACATTAATCATCAACCAACCAAAAAATTTTTGTTCAAAGTTCCTAATGAAATTATACATAAATACAGGTAATCCCTAACTTATGACAGTGTTCTGTTCTGACGACTCTTGCAAGTCAGTTCTGACATAAGTTGAATGCCTTTTTTTCTTTCGGTTTTTATAGCCTGTCATATGGCAAAATTTTGAACTGTAAATCATAAAACATCTGCAAGTGAACTTCTGAAAATAATGTTGTTGTTGTTTTTTGCCGTCGACTCGCCCCGACTCATAGCGACCCCTCCTTGGGTTTCCAAGGCAGTATCACTACGGAAGTAGGATTGCCCAACCTTCCTTCTGAGGAGTGGCTGGTGGGTTTGAACCGCCAGCCTTCTGGTTAGCAGTCAAGTGCCTTAGGCACTATGCTACCAGAGCTCCCTTGAAAATAATAACATCAACAAATTACAGGCTGCAATATTATATGGAGTACATATTACCAATGATAAGAGCTACAAAAAACAAACAAAAAAAAAAAACCCACCAAACAGGCAATCTTAAGCGTGGGCTGTCATAACTTGAATTCACCGTAAGTTGGAGATTACCTGTATCCTCAAAATCTTAATTAGCATACTGATTCACTAAGTGATGATTTGTTGCCCAACTGCAAATTGTCTATTAAACCTTCACAGCAACCTATTAATGGTATTCTGAGTTGTTTATTTTTTATACCCTTAAATGGCTCATTTCCAACAAAAATCTTGTACTGATATTCTTTTCTTAAGTTAGTGTGCTTTCCAGCCTTAGCAGTACTCACTCTAAATACCCTTCAAAACAAAACTATTTTCACAAACTATCCAAAAGGGGGGGGGGGAGGGCTTATACTTTCCAACAAATTTAAGTACCATTGACTTTAATATCTGTTAAAATAACTACTGCCTGTGTCATTCATTTTTACACTGGATACCTAGATAAAACTCATATATCAGAGATGAATGATTTTTAAAGCAAATCACCATTACTAAAATCAAAAAGTATCTTTAAATTGATAGCATGCCTATAGTTAAATAGCAGCATTTTTGTAGTTATACCTAAAATAATGGGTAACCTTTTAATTGACATTTTTAGATGCTATACATATTTATTCTATGTAGCTCTATTTCTTTCCTAAATACAAGACTTACTTGCATCTGTCTGGATGCTGATTAAATCAGATATCTTTAAAGGCAGTTTGCCTCATAAATGCCTAGAGAGCTCTTTGGCTTAGACCCAACACTAATCTGCACTTCGTGATTCAAAAGCCCTGGAAATCTGACTCCAATATTTACATTTAAGGATAGTTAGTGCTTTCTGAGTGAATCATTTTGACATACCTATCCTAGACCTGGATGTGGAGTCAGGCAACAATGGTATTATAAAATATTTATTATATTTCACATACCGAAGTACAGAAGAGTAAAACAGAGGTCATTGTAATCTGGGCAGGGAAAGGAGCCTCATTCAGCACTGTATGCTATGGGGTACAGCTTGTGGGGTAGACTGTGGGGGAGGGGGGCATTTTCTTGTTATATAGCCATGAAGCACTTTGGGAGCAAATGGGAGAGATTCAGGTAGGTTAAAGTATTCCAAAATCATTCATGGAAGTGGCAATCTAAACAAAAGTGTGAACTAAAAACCCAACTACAATAATAGGCTTATCCTATATGCCTGGCATATTAAGGGATTTAATAAACTAATTTAAGAGTTTTATAGGGGAAGCATACAATGATGAAAGGTGTCATGGAAGAATGTCGTATCTCTATGTGGTATTTAGGAACTTGGAGCACATAGAGTTTGACATGAATGCAGGCAAAATAAATAAATCTTAAAATGCAAGATGAGCTCACAATGTGGTGGTCGCTGAAATAGGAAGAAATTTGAATTTCACATATAAAGTAATAAGAGACAATCACAAGATTATTTTGTCAGCACAGAGCAAGCAAGGTAAACTGGATGCTTAATTTAAGTAATTTCAGTTAAGAAATACAATGACCAAAGCAAAAGGAAGCATATGCCAGATTGTGTATAAGGGAAATGAGTATCAGGAATTGTTGAAAAAGCAGTAAAAGAGGGTATTAGAGATGACCGATGGAAAAATTTAAGTGATTTCATAGTTGTCCATTACTGGAGTAGAAGAACAGTAAAAGAAAATAATTTTGAGAATAAAGGGACCACTGACACTCCTGTAGAGATTGCTGAAGGCACAAGAAATGCCAAATTAGAGAATGAAAACCAGAAAAACCAAACTCACTACCATGGAGTCAGATCTCACTCATGGCGACCCCTCCTTGGGTTTCTGAGGCTGTATCTCTAAGGAAGTAGATTGCCTAATCTTCCTTCCAAGGTGTGGCTGGTGAGTTTGAACCACCAGCCTTCTGGTTAGCAGTCAAATGCCTTAGGGACCATGCCACCAGAGCTCCTAGTTTTAACTTAATGTCTCGGTTTCTTTTTCACATAAAATACTTGCACCACTGTGTACCAAGTATGACTGCAGAGTTTTTCTTACACAGTGCTGTTTCTGCTATGTCTCATAATGGTGAGCTGGTTTTACCAATTTTAATTATTTTTATTTTGAGAATCACCTACTGGATCTACCATTTATACCTTAGGAATTAATTTCTAGTTTTATCTTTATTAAAACACTTAAGCCCTATCTAGCCTTCTTTTAAAACTTCTTGCTTTATAAAAGAAGTATGTAAGGCTACAAATTTTCTGCTGTGTACTTCTTTATCTGTAGTCCAAAGGCTTTAACACATGTTTTTCATTTTTATATATTTTATGTATTTCTGAAAAGTCTGCAATTTTGATTTGGATTTACTCTTTTATTGAATAGATTTTTAAAATATACATATTTATTTTTGTGATTCAGACATGGATTTTAGTTTTTCTCATATTGCTTATAATTTCTAGTTTTATGAGACTGTAATATTTCTACTTTGTGAATTCATTGAAATTTTGCTTTGACCTCAATTTCTTTTATTTTAAAAGTGTTCCAATGTTATTTAAAATGTTTATTCTGTTTTTACAGTACAAAATTTGAAAGACAGAGATACCTATGAAACATAGTATTCAGTTTGGCCTTTGTTTTTGTATCCTGAAAGATAACCCTTGAAATTTCCTCAGTAATTAATGTGTCTTTATTATCTAAAACTGCCAGGCAATTCTAGAAAATGTGCAAATGAGTAGGGGTTACACTCCATACCAGGTCAGCTAACCTTAAGAAGAGACTGGGACATGATTTAATTAATCATGCATATTCAATGATTCAATCAGTCATGACTATGTAATAATACCAACAAAGGGCATCTGTTCTCAGAGGGTCATGTGTCCATGGGGGCTGTTCCTGGGGGCCTCACACTGGGACCCCAATTAGGTTTCACCCTATGCATCTCATATGTATTCTTTCTGGTTATAAAAAATCAGTAGCTGTAAACATAATATATACGTGAACTCTTAAGTTTTTCCAGGGAATTAATGAACCCACAGAGGCAGTAAGAACCAGTAGAGGCAGGTGTCTGCCTATCTGGCAGTATGTAGGACTGTGTCCTTTTAACTTGTCTGTCCTGAGCTAGTTAGGACTGGCTAGGATCATAGAAGGGACCAACTGGTCTGAAATGGTAGATTTTTGAGTTTGTGGCTAACACTCATTGACCTGGTCCTTGGGTAGGTAGGTATGAGAGAGAATTCAGTAGGTCAGATGTTAGGGACCAATATCCCCTAATCTGAGGATGAGTACTGCTTTAAGTGGCTGGCAATGAGGATGGAGAAGTGGGGAGATGAGCATGGAACCATTTCCAGACAGGAACTGGATTCATGCTGATCATTAGTATGCAGTCAGTAATGAAGGTATTTGCCCACTGTGCCCCTAGCTTAGTGCAGACATGTATGAGATCCACTTTTCAAAACATACTACTTACATCTTCTAGAACAGGTTGGTAAAGTTTTGCAATAAAGGGCCACTTACCAAATACTTTAGACTTTGTGGGTAATATAGTCTCTGTTACAATTATTAAATACTACTACTGTTTTGTGAAAGGACCCATACACAATATGTTAACAAACGAGATCATCTGAGTTCTAGTAAAAATTTGTTTACAACAATTGGCAGCTAGCTGATTTTGGCTCAAGGGCCATAGTTTGGTGACACTAGTACTTGAGGCTCAGTTGTTGTATACTGGATTTGGCATGAAATCAGGGAGGTATATTAAGCAACAGTTGCAAGGGTGGCCCAGGACTGGGCAACATTTCATTTTGTTGTACATAGGGTCTCTGTGAGTTACAACTGACTTGACAGCACCTAACAACAACATTAAGGTCAAGGTCTACCCTACCTAATGTATTTCTATTTCTCTTTATTATTTCTTATGAATTGTTATAAAAGAAAATACTTATCTTTATGATAATATATTTGGTGCACAGATATTCTAAACCTATTTGCTTTTTAACCTGTCTTCTTTAGCATTATTTAAATGTACCTTTTCTCATTTGATGTTTTTTGATCTGAAGTCTTTAAGAAGCTGTTAGATAAATTTAACTGAATTATTTGTATGCTTATTGGCTTAATAATAATTATTATCTTGTATTTCAAACTTGACAAATTATTTCTTCAGGAAATCATTTTGTAAAATCTCACACCAGCTTTTATTTATTAATAGGTGACTTTAATCCATTTTCATAAATTGACAGGAGTGATGTTTGTCATACTTTATGTTATGTGGTGTAGTTACACATTTTAAAGTAAAACTTCTTCAGCAATAGGTTTTTTCTTTGTTCATTATATTTTTCTCCTAAAAATTAAGAAGGCTGTATTTCTGCTCCAGTAGCTTTCCTCTTAACTATAATCTTAAGTAATCTCACAATCATCTATTTATTTAGTGTTATAGATTAAATTGTGTCCCTGAAAAGGATGTGTCAACCTGCCTAGGCTATGATTTCCAGTATCATCCTCCATTTTGTAATCTAACATAATTATTCTCCATTTTGTGATCCTCTATTTTATGTGCTACAATCCTAACCTTGATATGTTATTGATGCAGGATAAGTGAGGGTAGTATCTTCAGTTACAGCCTTACTCAAATGATACTTTACTTAAGTCACACTCTTATTCAAATCCAACCCTTCCTTGAGTCACACATTTTCTCTTAAAAGAGATAAAAGGAGAGAGAAGTGAGCAAAGAGGAGAGGCACCTCATTACCACCAAGAAAAAACAGCTTGGAGCAGAGCACATCTTTTGTACCTTGGGTCCCTGTGCTGAGAACCTCCTAGACAACACATCAGAACCTAGAACTGCTGAGAATCTTCCCTGGGGGGATACTGATAAGGAGACACATGGAGTCCTCCAAGGAATGCTGAGTCCACAGATGTTGAAAGGAGCAAGAACCTTCCCCCAGAGCCAACAGACAGACAGAAAGCCTTCCTCTATAACCTGGAACCCTGAATTCAGACTTCTAGCCTCCTAAATGGTGAGAAAATAAATTTCTGTTGGTTAAAGCCATCCTCTTGTGGTATTTCTGTTACAGCAGCACTAGATAACTAGACACTTAGATAGTATCTAGTCATTTCTTATTATATAACTAATGAGGAAGTAGATTGCCCCACCTTCCTTCCAGCCACTCCCCAGAAGGAAGGTGGGGCAATCTACTTCCGTAGTGATACTGCCTCGGAAACCAAGGAGGGGTCACTATGTGTTGGGTCTGACTTGATGGCACTTAACAACAATGATGAAATCAGAATTTTTCTTTTTCTCATTCATTAAGCTACAATTTTACTTGCTCTTTCATGTTTTATTTTTATCATTTGGTATCTGGGCTCCTACTTTTAAAGATGAAAAGATGAATGGTTTTTCTAATCTTCCAAAGGTAAGGGCCTGAAAAGTGCCTACTTCTAGCTGATTATTTTGGATTTAATTTCCTTGGATGCCTTCTACTGGTATTTGATAACTCACCTGGGAAGCTCTTGTTTGGTAATTCTTCTTCTAATAACCATGGGTCTTTTCCTTGCTCCAACCTGATGATGACATCTGGTTTTGAAAAGCCATATCCTGTAAAAGGGACATTTGAGTCAACTGAATAGGCTTCAATATTTGTAAATGTGAAAGAAGGTATAGCTTTAAAAGCTTTAAGAGCAGTTCATTGAAAATACTCATGTGAACCCTTTATTTGAGGAGGTAAAAACCAAAACAAAAAATCTTATATCCAAAAGGGAACAAGCCAATATAACATTAAATTCTAATAAAAGTTCATGTATACTGACTTTTAAAAAGGCATTGTATGTGAACTTCCTCTTCTGCCCATGATGGAGTATTAGACCAATTTACCCATTCAAGTTAAACAAGTAGAAAACCATACAAACTCTATGATACAATGCTTGTTAGACACTGGTCAACAGGCAATACATGATACAGTGATTGCTGAGCAGAGACAAATGAGTTATGCCCAATAACTGACACATGAATTAGAAAGTTCCTAGGTAACAGCACAGAAAAGAAACACCAAAACACAGGCTGGGCAATCTCAGTTAGTTGAGGAAATGGAGTTGGAAGTTGGAAAAGATAAAGATATTAAAAAGCAAACAACAAAATCTAATATTCAATAATATAAACATTCTAACAAATAGAACCCAATCAGAAACTACTAGGTATGCAAAAATTAGGAACGTATACTCTTAAACAAGAAGAAAAACTGCACAATAGGAACATATCTAGAAATGACATATATGATACAATTAGTACACCGTCCAACAACATAAAGTTACTACATGTGGACCTTGACAGATGGAAGACACAGGGATCAAATCCAGTACATCTGGAAAAAGACAATGGCAAACTCACTATCATCAGTCAGAAGAAGGCTGGGAGCTGATTGTGAAGAAACCATCAATTGCTCATATGCAAGTTCAAGTTGAAGCTGAAGAAAATTAAAACAAGTCCATGAGAGCCAAAATATGACCTCAAGTATATCCCACCTGAATTCAGACAGTATCTGAAGAACAGATTTGACACATTGAACAACAATGACTGAAACCCAGATGAGTTGCAGAATGACATCAAGAACATCATACATGAAAAAAGCGAAAGGTAATTAAAAAGAGAAGAAAGAAAAGACCAAAACAGATGTCAGAAGAGGCTGTGAAACTTGCTCTTGAATGGAGAGCAGCTAAAGTTAAAGGAAAAATGATGAAGTAAAAGATCTAAACAGAAGATTTCAAAGGGCAACTTGAGAAGACAAAGTAAAGTATTATAATGAAATGTGCAAAGACCTGAAGTTAGAAAAACTAAGGAAAGAACATGCTCAGCATTTCTCCAGCTAAAAGAACTGAAGAAAAAATTCAAGCCTAGAATTGCAATTTTGAAGGATTCTGGCTCTGGTGGTGTAGTGGTTAAGACTTCTGGCTGGTAACCAAAAGTTTGGTGGTTCTAACCACCAGCCACTCTGTGGAAGAAAGATGGGGTAGTCTGCTTCCATAAACATCTACAGCCTGGAAACCCAATAGGGGTCACTATGGGCAGGAATCAACTTCATTGCAGTGAGTTTGGTTTTTGTTTTTTATGTGCAAAATAGTGAATGACGCAGGAAGCATCAAAAGAAGGTAGAAGGAACATATACAAACCTCTTATACCAAAAAGAACTGGCTTATGTTCAGCCATTTCAGGAGGCAGAATATGATCAAGAACCAATGGTACTGAAGGAAGAAGTCCAAACTACACTGAAGGAATTGGTGAAAAAAAAAAAGGCTCCAGGAACTGACAGAATACCCACTGAGATGTTTCAACAAACAAATGTAGCACTGGAGGCACTTACTCATTTATGCCAAGAAATTTGGAAGACAGCTACCTGGCCAACTGACTGGAAGAGATCCGTATTAGTGCCCATTCCAAAGAAAGGTGATCCAACAAAATGTAGAAATTATGAAACAATATCATTAATATCACATGCAAGTAAAGTTTTGCTGAAGATAACTGGAAAATGACCGCAGCAGTATATTGATGAAGAATTTCTAGAAATACAAGCTGGTTTCAGAAGAGGATGTGGAACAAGGGATATCACTGCTGATGTCAGATGGACCTTGGCCAAAAGCAAAATATACCAGAAAGATGTTTACCTGCATTTTATTGACTATGCAAAGGTATATGACTGTGTGGATCATAACAAATTATGGAGAACGTTGTGAAAAACGGGAATTCCAGAATAATTAATTGTGCTCATGAAGAACCTGTACATAGACCAAGAGGCTGTTGTTCGAACAGCACAAGAGGACACTGCATGGTTTAAAATCAGGAAGGGTGTGAGTCAGGGCTGTATCCTTTCGCCAAACTTACTCAATCTGTACGCTGAGCAAATAATCAAGAAGCTACACTATATGAAGAGTGTGGCATCAGGATCAGGCATGGGGTCGCTATGAGTTGGGGCCAACTAGGCAGCACCTAACAACAGTTTTCTTGTATTATCTCTGGGATTTATCTCTAGGATCATATCATCTGCAAACAGGGATAGTTTTACTTCTTCCTTACCGATTCTGATGCCTTTATTTTTCTTTCTTGCACTATTGCTCTGGGTAGGAGCTCCAGTTCAATGTTGAATAAGAGTGGTGATAAAAGGTATCCTTTCCTCATTCCCATTCTCAAGGAGAATGCTTTCAGTCTCTCTGCACTGACAATAATGTTGGCTATTGGTTTTGTGTACACACCCTTAATTTTGTTGAGGAATTTCCATTCTATTTCTATTTTGTCAAGAGTTTTTATCAGGAAAGGGTGTTGGATTTTGTCAGATACCTTTTCCGCATCAATTGATATGATAATGTGTTTTTTTTTTCCCCTTTGTTTCTGTGGCCAGTTACACTGAATTTTTGTAATGCTGAATCATGCTTTCATGCTTACATAACTGGTATGAATCTCACTTGATCATGGTGTACTATTTTTTTTTTTTTCATACAGTGTTAGATCCTATTGGCTAGGATTTTATTGAGAATTTTTGTATCTATATTCATGTAGGATGCTTTTCTTCTTTAGAAGTGTCTTTGCCTGGCTGTGTATCAAGATTATGCTTTGTTTCATAAAATGCATTTGGGAGTATTCCATCCTTTCCTATGTTCTGGAGTAGTTTGAGTAGAACTGATGTCAGCTCTGCTCTGATTGTGTGGTAGAATTCTCCAATGAAGTCATTTGGACCAGGCCTTTTTCCTTGTTGGGATTTTTTTTTTTTTTTTTCTTTTCTTCAGTGACCTCTTCAATTTGTTCTTTTGTTACAGGTCTGTTAAAATTTTCTAACTTATTAGCTTAAGTAGGTAGTGTGTTTCGAGAAATGTGTCCTTTCTTGTAGGTTTTCAAATTCATTGGAGAATATTTCTTCATCGTATTCTGTTATTATCTTGTTCATTTTAGTTGGTTTAATATCACCCATTTAATTTCTGATTTGTTATTTGCATCTTCTCCTTTGTTAATTTAGCTATTGGTTTGTTCATTTTATAAATCTTTTCAAAGAGCAACTTCTATGTCTTGTTAATTCTTTGTATTGTTTTCTATTTCATTTATTTCTGCACCAATATTATTTCCTTTCTTCATATGACTGTGAGCTTTTTTTTTTGTTTGCTCTTTTCCTGTTTGTTGGAGTTGTAGGGTTAAGGTGTTGATTTTGGCTCTTTCTTCCTTTTTGATGTATGCATTTATTGCTATACACTGACCACTGAGCACTGCTTTTATTGTGTCCCAAAGGTTTTGGTATGTTGTATTTTCGTTCTTGTTTGATTCCAGGAAATCTTTTATTATTATTATTTATGTCTTCTATTACCCAGTGTTTTTTAACCAGAGTAGTATTCAGCTTCCATTTTTTTTCCTTTGTTCTATTATTGAGTTCTAATTGCACAGTGTGATTCACAAAGATGGTTTGCAGTATTTTGATCTTTTTGAGATGCTTGCTTTGTAGCGTATCATATCACCTATTCTACAGAATGATCAATGTGTACTGGAAAAGAAAGTGTACTATACTGTTGTTGGGTATAGTGTTTTGTATATGTGTGTGAGATCAAGTTGGTTGACTGTGTTGTTCAGATCTTCTGTACCTTTGTTCAGTTTCTTTCTAGCTGTTCTATCCTTCAGTGAAAATTAAAGTCTCCTATTATTATTGTAGGAGTTCTGGTAGCGTAGTGCCTAAGGCACTTGACTGCTAACCAGAAAGCTGGCGGTTCAAACCCACCAGCCACTCCTCGGAAGGAAAGTTGGGCAATCTACTTTCATAGGGATACTGCCTCGGAAACCCAAGGAGGGGTCGCTATGAGTCAGGTCCAACTTGAGGGCACATAACAACAACAACAACAACAACATTATTACTGTGCTCTATTTCTCTTTTCAATATTGACAAGGTTTGTTTAATGTACTTTGGAACTCTTTCAGTGCGTATAAAGAGATTTATTATGGTCATGTTCTCTTGTAAGCTGACCCTTTAATCATTATATAATGCTCTTCCTTGCCTCTTATACTGGTTTTTGCCTCAAAACCTATTTTATCAGAGATTAATATTGGTACTCCTGCTTTTTTGGTTGCCATTTGCTCAATATATTTTTACCCATCCTTTGATTGTCAGCCTATTTTTATCTTTGTGTCTAAGGCATGTTTCTTCTAAGCAGCATCATGGGTCACGTTGTCTTACGCATTCTGCCATTCACTGTTTCTTGACTGGTACATCTGTTGTTGTTGTTATGTGCTGTTGAGTCAGCCCCGACTGACAGCAACTCCTCCTTGGGTTTCCGAGACAGTATCACTACGGAAGTAAATTGCCCAACCTTCCTTCTGAGGAGTGGCTAGTGGGTTTGAACCACCAGCCTTCTGGTTAGCAGTCAAGTGCCTTAGGCACTACACTACCAGAGCTCCTACTGGTACATTTAACCCATTTATATTCAATGTAATTATCAATAAGTATGAATTTACTGCTATCATCATTTTTTGTGTGTGCTTGTGTGGAGTACTGATTATTCCTTTGTTACATGCAATTTTCTGGACTTAGTTCTCTTTGTTTATGGATTTTCATTTTCTGTGTTGCTATTATTTTGTGTTTACTGAGTCTTAATGAATTTCTTCTTTTTTATTTTGGTGAGAAATTTTATTAATTTTCTTTACTGATGTGGCACAACTCAAAATGGGAAGAAACAGTGAAGAAGACTTGAAGCACTTACTGAAGATTAAAAGACTACACTCTGCAGTATGGATTACACCTTAACATAAAGAAAATGAAAATCCTCACAACTGGACCAATTAGCAACATCGTAATAAATGGAGAAAAGATAGAAGTTGTCAAAGATTCTATAATACTTGGATCCACAATAAGCACTAATGAAAGCAGCAGTCAGAAATCAGATGTCATACTGAACTTGGTAAATCTACTGCAAAAGACCTCTTTAAAGTGTTGAAGAGCAAAGATGTCTCTTTGAAGACTAAGGTGCACCTAACCTAAGCAGTAGTATTTTCAATCACCTCATATGCATATGAAAGCTGGACAATGAATAAGGAAGACAGAGGAAGAGTTGATGCTTTTGAGTTGTGGTGTTGGTGAAGAATACTGGAAGTATCATAGACCGCCAGAAGAACAAACAAATCTGTCCTGGAAGAAGAGAAGCCAGAATGCTCCTTGGAAGCAAGAATGGCCAGATTTCAGCTCACCTGCTTTGGTCATGTTGTCAGAAGGGACCAGTCCCTGGAGAAAGATATGCATAATAAAGTGGAGGGTCAGTGAAAAAGAAGAAGGCCCTCACTGGATTGACACAGTGGCTGCAATGATGGGCTCAGGCATAGCAGGGATTGTGAGGCTGGCACAGGACTGGGTGGTGTTTCATTCTTTTGTTCACTGGGTCACTATGAGTTGGAGCTGACTCGATGGCACCTAACAACCACAACAAGTAATGCACCAGTATGTCTTGATTCCTTTTTTCAGTTTGTATCTGCTATCACACTGTGACATGGTATAACTCTGGCACTGTAGATAAAAGTCAAGCACTTTATGTAAATAAGCCATAAGATAATACTAATTGAGTTAAACCTCCTCAACATATAATACTGATGCAAAATGAGTAGGCCTTAGGAAGAATTAGATTTAATTAACTAGTAGCTAATTTTTATGTTAAATAGTTCTGGACAAGTTTATCATAAGGTACAAATAGTGGTAGATCAAGGGCATAAATGAGTAATCAAACTAGTACAAAAACATGAGAATGCATAAAATGGATTTATAGGATGTTTCAGTTGTTTCTTTACATGCATTCCTAACCCACACTGGCTCCTGCAAATGTTAGAAATATCTACACTGATGATATTGTGATTTTTATCCTATAAGTGCTATAATTATTGTCCATGTTCTCACAAATATGACCATTTGCTACAAAAGAGCCTAGGACAAAGGCCATGGAGTAGCCTGTGTAGTAAAGAATTAATTCAACGTGGCTGGGTTGTCCAAACCCTGAATATTCCAAAAAAAAGGTCAGGTCCTTGCCTGGTACTTGGGATATGTTCTCTAAGCTCTTGGAATATCTGGCTTAATAAAAATGTCTTTGTTTACCTGGGAACTTGGGCTACTCTAGGTAGTCTATGCTAATAACCTGAATGTAGTATTGACTCTAAGCCATGTGGTATCAATTTGCCTTTTAAGAGAATGGAGACTAACCAATTTCAGCTATGTTGGAGCTCCATGTCTACATGAATGATCCCAATAAAAACCCAGGAACCCTTAAGATCTGGTGAGTTTCTCAGGTTGGCAATACTTCATGTTTGTTGTCACACATCATTATGAAAAAATTAACACTATCCATAGATTTCAGTGGAAAAGGACAACTGGAAGATTGTGCCTGTATCTCTGCACTCTGCTCTATAAGCCTTCTAGCTTTGGTGATTTTCCATTGTATCCTTTTGTTGTAATAAACCATAACCATGAGTATAATAGCTTTCCTAAGTTCTGCAAATCCTTTCAGAAAAATCATTAAACTGAGGGTGGTCTCACTGGACCCTGAAACAGATTATGTACCAGAAAACTATAAACTATTGCAAAGAAAAACAAAATTTTTTTTAAAAAAAGGAGAAGGAGGATGAGGTGAGGGGAGGAGGGGGAGGGGGAGGACAAGTAGAAAAAGAAGAAGATATCATTTTCATGAACAGAAGACTCAATATTGTTAAGATGTAAATTATTCCCAAATTGAGCTACAGATTTAAGGCATTCACAATCCGTTTTTAAAGAAAGTAGAGAATTCTAAAATTTATATGGAAATGCAAAGAAAGTACAATCACCAAACGATTTTGAAAAGAAGAACAATGTTGGAGAACTTAGCTTACCTGATTTCAAAATTTATTACAAGCCTACATTAATCAAAAGAGTGGTATTAGCATTAAGATAGACTTTCAAATCAATGTAGCAGAATACAGTCCAGAAACAGACCCACACACTATATAACCAATTTATTTTTGACAAAGTACCAAAACAGTTGAATGGGCTAAGAAACAATGCTGACATAACTGGACATGAAAATTCAATACATGACCTACAAGTCTAATTTCACACATAAAGGAAAATTACCTAGAAACAGATCACAGAACTCATCTAAACCTAGTATTATAAGACTTCCTGAACGAAACCAAAGAGAAAATTTTAGTGACCTTGACTTAGGCAAAGAATTGTTAAACAGGACCAAAAAAAAAAAAAAACCATGCATGACATCTTTAGTCATTAGGGAAAATATAAATTAAAATCCAAGAAGCTACAAATAAACATTCAGCAGAATGGAAAACAACAGTGAGACTTACAATACCAGATGTTAGTCAGAATATGGAGCAATTTTAACTCTCATACATTGTTAACAGTCCCTTGGAAACTCCTCTATTTTTTAAAAAAGCTACATAAACACTTCCGTAGTGATACTGCCTCGGAAACCCAAGGAGAGGTCGCTATGAGTCGGGACCGACTCGACGGCACATAAGAAGAAGAACAACAACAACATAGACACTTATCATAAGACCCAGCAAGTCCACTCCTTGTATTTACATATGAAAAATGACAACATGTTTACACAAAGAGTTGTACTCAAACACTTGTAGTAGCTTTACTCATAATGGCCCCAAAGTGGAAACAACTCAAATGTCTTATAAATGGTAAATGAATAAGAAAAGATTGTGTGGTATATGCATAGAAATAAATACTACTTAAAAAACAAACGAAACAAACACACTGCCATGGAGTTGGGTCCGACTCATAGACACCCCTCCTTGGGTTTCCGAGGCGGTATCACTATAGAAGTAGATTGCCCAACCTTGCTTCCGAGGAGTGGCTGGTGGGTTTGAACCACCAGCCTTCTTGTTAGGTGTCAAATGCCTTAGAATGAAAATATTAGCCTACTCACATGACAACATGTATGAATGTCAAAAGCACTATGCTAAGTGAAAGAAGCCAGACAATTAAGTGTGTATACTGTATGACTCCATTTACATATAGTTATGAAAAATGGCAAAACTATTGTTTTAGAAAGAAGATCAGTTGATGGAAGTGGTCTAGACGAGCAGGAGGGAAATGACTACAATGGACTCAAATGACTATTTGACAAATAGGGAAACTTTCTGGGGCGATGGATATACTCTATATCATGATTTGGGTGGTGAAAATCAAGTATACATTTCTAAAAACTCAACAGAACTGTACAATGAAAATTGCCAAATTTCATTTTCTATTAATTACACCTCAAAAAAGATGATGACGAAGCTTAAAAATAAAAGCAAAAAACCCAGAAATGCATTCTAGAGGGAGTTACATGGTAAGAATTGCTCACCCACTGAGACGAGGTGGCTGTAGTTCTCCAGCATCACGTCTCTGTACAGGGTCCTCTGAGCAGGGCCCATGTGCTGCCACTCCTCCTGGGTGAGCTCCACAGCCACGTCCTTGAATGACACTGATGCCTAGAACAGTACATTTCTTATCGTTATGAAAGGTTTAGAACTAGGTAACACGGAAAATACCTTTGGGAGCTAGTTCCTATCATGTTGTTGTTGTTGTTATGTGCCGTCGAGTCGGCCCCGACTCATAGCGACCCCTCCTTGGGTTTCCGAGGCAGTATCACTACGGAAGTAGGATTGCCCAACCTTCCTTCCGAGGAGTGGCTGGTGGGTTTGAACCGCCAGCCGTCTGGTTAGCAGGCAAGTGTCTTAGCCACTATGCTACCAGAGCTCCCAGTTCCTATCATATTTACTGTTAAATGTTAAAAAAAATATATAGTAAAGGATGTCTATAATATTTACTGTTAAATGTTAAAAAAAATATATAGTAAAGGATGTCTATAATGGCCCTAAATTTGTCTTAACTTTAGGGGTACCCATACAGTTAGTACAAATGTTATTCTTGTGCCCTAATTAATTTGAATTTATCTATATTATATACATATACTGGCAAGTAATCTAATACTGATTGTGGTAGGCAGAATAATGGTTTTTACAGATGCTCATGCCCTAATCTCTGAATATATTACCTGACATAGCAAAGGGAATTTTATACAGGAGATTGGGTTAGGGACCTTGAAACGTAGAGATTATCCTGAATTATCTCCATGGGCCCACCCCAATCACATGGGTCCTTAAAACCAGAGAATCTTTCCAAGGTACAGTCAGAAAAAGAATGACAATGGAAGATGGGTTAGGGAGTTTGGATATTTTTTTTTTCTGTACCCCAACTCCCCTTCCCTCTGAGTACTTCCCACTGTTAAACACCAGCACATAAGTCACAGTTTCAAGAAATCTATGATACGTTATGATACTTGATACGTTCAAGTTACAGAAATCTATGATACGTTACCCTCCAAGATAGCCGGATCAACATTCCATTTCAGCAGATCCTAGACTCTCTATAATACTTTTTAATACCTCATATGACCTGCCCAGGTTTTTTTTTTGTCGTTCTTCCCTTATTTATGCTTTCCCAGCTACTTGTCTGTCAGTCTGTCACACTGTGGTGGCTTGGGGGTTATGCCCCTGCTGGTATTTGTCACCCATGATGGACAGGTTTTAGCAGAGCTTCCAAACTAAGACAAACTAGGAAGAAGTATGGGGCCATTCACTTCTGAAAAAACTGGCCACTGAAAACCTTATGAATAGCAGTGGAACAGTCTGGTATGGTGTCGAAGATGAGCACCACAGATTAGAAGAGACTCAAAATACAACTGGGGAAAGAGCTATCTCCTCAAAGTAAACTCAAACTTAATGATGTGGATGAAGTAAAGCTTTCAGGACCTTCATTGCTGATGGGGCAGGATTCACAATGGAAGAAACAGCTGCAAACATTCATTAATAACTGGAACATGGAATGTACGAAGTACGAATCGAAGAAAATTAGAAGTTGTCAAAAATGAAATGGAATGCATAAAGATCAATATCCTAGGTGTTAATGAGCTGAAATGGACTGGTACTGGCTATTTTGAATTGACAATCATGTGGTCCACTATACCAGAAGTGACAAATTGAAGAGGAATGGCGTCACATTCGTCATCAAAAAGAACATTTTAAGATCTACCTTGGTTGTTGTAGATGATAGGGTAATATCCATATGCTTACCAGGAAGACCAGTCAATATTATTATTATTTAAATTTATGCACCAATCACTAAAGCCAAAGATGAAGGAACTGAAGTTTTTTTTAACAACTTCAGCAGTCTGAAATTGACCAAACATGCAACCAAGATGTATTGATTACTACTGGTGAATGGAATGCAAAAGATGGAAACAATGAAGAACCATCAGTATTTGGAAAATATGGCGTTGGTAACAGAAATGATACTGGAGAACACATGACAGAATTTTGTAAGACTAATGACTATTCATGACAAGTACCTTTTTTTCAACAACATAAACAGTGGCTATATACATGGGCCTCACCAGACAGAATACACAGGAATCAAATCGACTCTATCTGTGGAAAGAGGCAATGAAGAAACTCAGTGTCATCAGCCAAAATAAGACCAGGAGTGGAGTTGTGGAAAAGACCATCAACTGATCTTACACAAGTTCAACTTGAAGCTGAAGAAAATTAAAACAAGTTCACAAGAGCCAAAATACAACCTTCATGATATCCTTCCTGAATTAGAGACCATCTGAAGAACAGATTTGACACAATGAACACCAGTGACCAAAGAATAGATCAGTTGTGTGTGGAATTACATCAAGAATGTCATATATGAAGAAAGCAAAAGTCATTAAAAATACATGAAAGGAAGAAAGGACCAAAATGGGATGTCAGAAGGGACTCTCAAACTTGCTCTTGAACAGTGAGTAGCTAAAGTGAATGGAAAAAATGATGAAATAAAAGGGCTGTACAGAAGATGTCAAAGGGGGACTTGAGGAGACAAAGTATTATCATGAAATGTGCAAAGAACTGGAGTTAGAAAAGCAAAGAACATGCTCAGCATTTCTCAAGCTGAAAGAACTGAAGAAAAATGGAAGCCTCAAGTGCCAACAATGAAGGATTCTATGGGCAAAGTACTGAACGATACAGGAAGCATCAAAAGAAGATGGAAGGAATACACAGAGTCACTGTAACAAAAACAACTGGTCAATGTTCAGCTATTTCAAGACATAGCAGAAGATCAAGAACCAATATACTTAAGGAGGAAGTCCAAGCTACATTGAAGGAATGACAATTGGGTGTATAGAGGTGAAGGACACCAAAATGGTAATGTGTGCCCTGTGTACTATCAGTAGTTAAGAATATACTGCCAGAAAACAATGACAAAACCACACACGAACTCAGAAATCCTAGGTTTCAGACTGGACCAACTAAAATAATTTTTGTCCATTTTTATTCAGCAGCCTCTATGTTAAAATGACATTTCAAAACTGAAATTAAAAAAAAAAAGAAATAAACAATAAACCTACGACTATTTAATAAAGTGATTTACTAATCAATATCTTCACACAAAAATCTCCCACAAGAGTCTCTCCTTGTCCAGAGCAAAGAAGAATGAAGAAAACCAAAGAATCATGGAAACAATTAGTCCTAGTGACTGGTATACCATGAGATCCACAGCCTATACGACCATGAGATCAGAAGAACTAGATGGTGCCCAGCTACCACTGTCAACCACTCGGAGGGGAATCTATGTAAGAGATCCTGGATAGAGAGGGAGAAGAATGTGGAACAAAACTCAAAATCATTTGGGAAAAAAAGAGGGAGGGGCAGGTTTGCTGGTCTGATAAGAGTCTGGTGGAACCACTGAGACTATGGTCCCTAGCTGCCCTTCAGGTCTGGAATTGAACCCACACCAGTGGCTTCCAGCCAAACAAAAGACAGGCATATAAGCTGAACATTTACCTGAGGTAGATACACTCCTTGGAGAGAAAAATCATGGGAGAAAGAAGGGCTGTTTATGCACAGGGAGACAGCTCAGGGGGCAGGAGTGCACAGAGGGATGGACACAGGGAAGAGGTAACTATCGGGAGGAAGTGGGAGGGGAGCTGTTGCATTGGGGTAAATTGTAGTCAATGTCATGAGACAAACTGTATGTGAACTGTTGTATGGAAAGTGAATTTGTTCTGTAAATTTTCACCCAAATCACAAGAAAAAAAAAAAAAAAAGCTCCCATAAGGCCCATATTTATAAGTGAGTTTCACAGAATTTACAAATAACAGGCATTTTTCTTATATAAATTATTAGAAAAAAGCAATAATGCAAAAATGCCCTGATTTCTTTTATGAGGCTATAACCATGATACTGCTACTGGATAGACACATGAGAATAGAAATTTATGGACTAAACTAATTTCTGCTACAGGAATAGAAATCCTAAAAATAATATTTGCAAAAAGACCCCAGAAAAATATGTAAAAAGGAACTCACCACATTCAATAGTAAATAGGGTTAATACAGGAATTCAAGAATATATTAACATTAGAAAATCTATTATTCTATTCACAATATTCATAGATTAAAGGACATACAACATATTTTTATTGCAATAACCTGAACCAAACCCACTGCCATCCAGTTGATCCCAAATCATAGCGACCCCTATAATAAGGTTTCCAAGGCAAAAAATCTTTACAGAAATAGATTGCCTCATATTCCTCCCATGGAGCAGCTGGTCGGTTTGAGCCACTGACCTTCTGGTTAGCAGCCAAATGCCTTACCCACTGAGCCACCAGAGCTCCTATACAGATGGGAAAAAGTACTCACTATAACTCAGTACACATCCTTGACTACACTGAAATTTAAACAAACTAGTAACTGCAGAGAAGGTACTTATCCTAACAAAGGCTATCTTCCACAATCCAACAGCAAACATCAGAACCAACAGGAAAATTGCGTACTTCCTTTCGAGGCTGACTTGTATTTTTTCTAATTTTCCTTTTCCATTTAATGCATGGACCTTTATATACTTCTTAAATGCATTACATACAAATTAGGAAATGAATAAAGATCTCACCTGAAATGTGTTCATTTTCTGTGGCTCTTGGAGAGTGTAGATAATTTTAAAGGCTCAACTGTAGGGACAGAGAAGGACTGAGGTCACAAAATTTGACCTTAAAGCAACTAGATCCACCTCCCAAATTCTCAGCAGCTGGGAGCAGCCTTCCTATGCCAACATGGTCCTTTAGCCCTGGAAGAGGCATAGGGAGGACCATGCCGAGGTGGCAGCATCCATCCACGTGTAAATGTGAAAGGATCATGAGGACTGGAGTTTTATACTGGAAGTATATAAACTCTTTTTTCTATTGATTTAGCAATAATTCATGTATTCTTACAACTGTTTAATAGGAAAAGCTAAGAAAACAGAGAATTACTAAAATTAAATTCCACCAAAGGATAAGGCAATAAGCTATACCTTTATTCAGTAAATTATGCAATAGAACTCAGTGTACATACATAACTAAAATCAAATCTAAACAAAATAGGAAGGAGCTTACTTTTATTAAAGTTGAAATAGTAGAAAACATACTCACGCTACATCATTTACATATTTCCCTAGCAATACTGTTTATTCCTAGAGTTACAAGTTTCACAAAAGCCTAGTAGAAGAGATGGGGCTACTTTAAGACAAGGATTTTTAATTGTTTTAACCAAATTATGGTTCTCAAAAGGCCCTTTTGATAAGAGACTTCTGGTGACTGACCTGTGAGAGAATGAACTGCACTGTTTTCCTCCTGGCTCTGTCAGAAACTGAGTGGTTATAGACAATTCACTCAGGTTCCATTTCTTTAAAGCTTTCAAAAGAGTAAAAAGTCAATAAGCACATGAACCATCATTCTGGGATCTGTGAGGTCAGGGAATGTTACTAGTATCACATGTGGTAAAAGACAAGTATGAGAGCTACAAAATATTTGTAAAGAGCTGTTGTTGTTGTTGTTATTTGCCGTCGAGTCCCGACTCATAGCGACCCCTCCTTGGGTTTTCGAGGCAGTATCACTACGGAAGTAGGATTGCCCAACCTTCCTTCCGAGGAGTGGCTGGTGGATTTGAACCACCAGCCTTCTGGTTAGCAGTCAAGTGCATTAGGCACTATGCTACCAGAGCTCCCTTGTAAAGAGCTACTGGGGGGAAAAAAAGGATAGGTGGGGACAATTTCCTCGGCTCTGCCAGGTTCTCCCTGAGCCTCACACCATGCCCTGATGTTCTTTAACAAAGTGGCCTTTCCTGGATAGCCTACCTTTGGACTATCCCAGCTCTCCTCACTTTTCTCAAAGCTTATTCAAACTTTCCATTGTCACACAGCCTGTGGTAGTTCCTGGAGTTGGTAACATCACCATATCTGGCTCATTCTTGATAAAGGGATCAAGAATTGCCACTCGCTGTCCAAATCAGGACATGTTCCTTTCTGGGCTCTTCTGCTTAGGTTCTGAACCACTGGTGAGAGGTCAAAGGTGAAAGGGATGTTCTCTTCCAGATAAGATTCCTGTTCTCAGAGGCCTCCTATCTTCTACCTCACAAGAATGGCTTTGTCACAAGGGAGCTAGGATTTGAGCCTGGGTTTCAAATTCATTTTAGGATCACAAACAGCAAACCAAACCAAATTAAACTCACTAGCGTGGAGTGGAGTCAGTCCTGACTCATAGAAATCCCAGCTCTTGTGGTTTAGCGCCTAAGGCACTTGACTGCTAAGCAGAAGGCTGGCAGTTCAAACCCACCAGCTACTCCTCGGAAGGAAGATGGGGCAATCTACTTCCATAGAGATATTGCCTGAAAAACCCAAGGAGGGTCACTATGCATCAAAATTGACTGGACAGCTGTGAGTTTGGTTTGGTTTGGTTTTGGGTTTCTGAGGCGTACCTCTAGGGAAGTAGATTGCCCAATCTTCCTTCCGCCAAGTGGCTGGTGGGATTGAACTGCCAGCCTGCTAGTTAGCAGTCAAATGCCTTAGGCAGTATGCCAACAACAGTTGGGGGGGGGGGCTAGAAATTAAGTCTCACCCAAGGAAGGTAAAGAGACAGTGTTGTTGTTGTTGTTATGTGCCGTCCAGTCTGATTCAAGTCACAGCGACCCCTCCTTGAGTTCTTGAGGTGGTATCACTAGGGAAGTAGATTGCCCAACCTTTCTTCCCAGGAGTGGCTGGTGGGTTTGAACCAACAGGCTTCTGCTTAGCAGTCAAACGCCTTAAGCACTAGTAACTCAGAATACATCTGCCACATGGTGAGAATCCATCCACATTCACTTAGAATTTTATCCCTGGGGATTTGGGGACAAGTCGGCTAAGTGCTGTGATCTCTGGTTTTAAGGCAGGTGCAATATTACAAAAGATCTGAGATTGGGTGTAAAGCAGTACGAGCTCCATTACTGGGCTAGCTTGTGTCTTGAGCATATCATCTCACCAACTTAAAACTCGGTTTGCTTTTTTAAATAATGCATTATTTAAAAACACAGAAACAATTCAGATAATTATTCTGATCTCACAGGATGGTTGTGAGATTTACTAAGCCACCCAACAAAACAAATACAAGTGTCTTCCAGCAGTTATCATTTAATCTTACTGATCACACTTGGACACATGCTTTACAAGTGACATCTAACTCCAGAACGCCACGACAGTCATTAATATCCTCATTTTCACCCTGACTACAGGCGACGGAGATGGAATTTACCCTGGTCCTTCTAGTTCCAGAGCCCCTGCTTCAGACCGGTTCAAGGTCCATAATGAAACGCACATTACCCTCCCGTGGTCGGTATGGGTTTTTCCCGGCTAGGGCTGCAGGCTGCGCAGGGGACACAGTCCCTGCAACCTGGGCCCACCGACCACTTCCTGACCAGGGCTCAGACCACCGGCGCTCCGGGAACCCAAGAGGCCATCGGTCTCTCCAACAACCTTTCACTGCGCGGAGGGTTTGTTCAGGGGGTTCCCGCTCCAGTCCCCTCAGGCAAAAAGCAACCCATCCCAGTTGGTCTCCAAGACGCGTGGAGCTCGCGTCCCTCTGCGATCTCACCCCAAGTCTGCATCGTCTACTCCAGTTTAGACCGGGAAGCTCCGTCATCCCGCTCACTGTAAAGCCGAGGGACGCGGAAGGAGGCAGGCAGCGTAGTAATACACATGCGCAGTAGGAGCTGAGACCCCAGTGTCTGCATTAAACGCTGGGAGCCAGAGCGATTCAAAACATCATTTCCCCTAAACCTCCGCGCTCGGGCGTGTGGTGACTATTGCCCGGTCTTTTGGAAAGTTGGAGATAACAGTGAAACATGCGTTTAGAAATACTTAAGAAAATGACAGTTCTTCTTGCTAATTACGAAAACAATATTGGAATTATGCAAGAAAATGTACTTAGTTTTAAAAGGCATGCTTACTGAAATACTTTGCATGGAAAGTGTATATCAAATTTTTAATATTTTCAGTCAAAGCAAGCGAATAAATAAAGCAGGAAGATGCTGTAAATCGGAAACTTTATGAAAACCAATATTTCACTACATTGTAAACATTTGTATGAAAAGTTATGTAAAATACATTTATTTTGAAAGGAAATAAAATAACATATATCTGGATTGTCCTCCACTAGTGTGCCTTTAAACTTAAAATTGACAAGGTAAAAATCAAAACCAACCAAACTCCCTACAAACAAGTGACTTCTGACTCATAGCAACCCTATATGGGACAAAGTAGGACTGCCCCATTGGGCTTCCAAGGCTGTAAATTTTTGTGGAAGCAGACAGCTCTTTCTCCTGTGGAGTTGTGGATTCAGTTGCCAAACTTTTAATTAGCGGTAATGTTTTAACTGCTACACCACCTTATCACTTGGTATACAAGGCTGTGAAATGTAAATAAAATGGTAGAAAATAGACCAGCTTGTTTACTCCAAGAAGAAGAAAAGAAAAAGAAAGCAAGCTTTTCAAAAATAAGTAAGTAATAAATGAAACCACCACTCGCCTGTCAGCTTGTACTGTGGTGGCTTGTGTGTTGCTGGGAGGCTAGAGGCCATAGCACTGGTGTTTCAGATACCAGGAGAGTCACCCATGGTGGACTGGTTTCAGCAGAGCTTTCAGACTAAGACTCAGAAGATGGAAGGGGCCATCCACTTCTCAAAGAATTGGCCAGTGAAGACCTTATGAATAATAGTGAAACACAATCTTATATTTTACTGGTTTTGTACCACATTGTTCTCCCTCTTTATGCAGGATCTCCTACATCCCTTCCAAGTGGATGGCATTGGTAGCTGGGCACCATCTAGTTCTTCTGGTCTCATAGTTGTATAGGTTGCAGATCGGATGGTGTACCAGTCGCTAGGA